AAGAGGAAACTGGAGGACGAGTGTTCAGAGCTCAAGAAAGACATTGACGACCTTGAGCTGACCCTGGCCAAGGTTGAAAAGGAGAAGCATGCCACGGAGAACAAGGTAGGAATCATATTCTGTTCCACCATATAGAGGTTCTGCCACCCTACTAATAAGATGCTTTAGAGCAGACATCATTTCTCTTTTTAATTTTTCAAGGTGAAAAACCTCACAGAAGAGATGGCAGGCCTGGATGAAACCATCGCGAAGCTGACCAAGGAGAAGAAGGCCCTCCAAGAGGCCCACCAGCAGACCCTGGATGATCTGCAGGCAGAAGAGGACAAAGTCAACACCCTGACCAAAGCTAAAATCAAGCTTGAACAACAAGTAGATGATGTAAGCCTAACATCATGTAAAAAATAATTTTTTATTTAGTAACAAACTAAGTAAGCCTAAGTTTACATTCTAATGATGTAATGAGTACTTTTCAAGAGCTTCCAATGAATAAGTAGTGTAGGACATCATCCCTGCTACAGGTCTAAGATGGACACCCATGGAGTCAAAAAAATCAATAAAGAAAGTTGTAGGTAACAGACAATATAGGTAAAAAGAGTTAGGGGAAAGGAAGGTTATTCTGTTTACCAAGAAAAGCTGTACAAACAAAATGGGTTTTGGTTGGGATCACAAAGCAAATGGCCATGGGAAGAAATAGAGAGTGTGCTCTAAGCGGGAGCACAGCAAGAGCAAAGAAGTAGTAAATATCCATAAGGTTTTCTCTCACAGGGAGAAAGGGGATTCCAAATAAAGAATGTGGAAGATGAATTCAGCTTTAAATGATCTGATATCAAATAGAGAACCTGCTGTAAATGTCTGGGTGAGGGAGGAACTGGCAAAAGTCATGGTTTAGAAACATTGCTATGGTGTCTACGGGTATGGTGAAGCACTAATCACAATGGCTTCCAGTGGGGAGATTCAGAAGGCATGACATCTCCCTAGTAATTTACTGTAATCATATGGTAATGAGGTATGTTTCAACTTTTAAATGATGACTCCTTGGACTAAGTAAACAGCAAAGGGAATGGAATGGATGGGACAAATTTGTCTTAAACACAGAAAAATCAAAATAAGCTGCTGATTCGATAGGAGTTAAATGTTTACAAGTCCAACCTGCGATAAAAGATGATAACACTCCAGGAACTGTATTCATGCATTATTAACTTTTAGCTTGAAGGATCCTTGGAACAAGAAAAGAAAATCCGAATGGATCTAGAAAGAGCAAAAAGGAAACTAGAGGGAGACCTAAAATTAGCTCAAGAATCCACAATGGATGTTGAAAATGACAAGCAGCAACTCGATGAGAAACTCAAAAAGTAAGCAATGAGGACAAAACTTCCATGGGGAAATTACTATATTATTATATCTGTGACTGACATAAAATGATCCTCTAACAGGAAAGAGTTTGAAATGAGCAATCTGCAAAGCAAGATTGAAGATGAGCAGGCCCTCGCAATGCAGCTACAGAAGAAGATCAAGGAGTTACAGGTGAGTCGGACCCCCCACCTCTTCTGCGCATTCCAGGAATCAAAACTGCCATGAGTTGGCATTCACGTTGATGTATCACCCCCAGGCCCGCCTCGAGGAGCTGGAGGAGGAAATCGAGGCAGAGCGGGCCTCCCGGGCCAAAGCAGAGAAGCAGCGCTCTGACCTCTCCCGGGAACTGGAAGAGATCAGCGAGCGGCTGGAGGAAGCCGGCGGGGCCACCTCCGCCCAGATCGAGATGAACAAGAAGCGCGAGGCTGAGTTCCAGAAAATGCGCAGGGACCTGGAGGAGGCCACCCTGCAGCATGAAGCCACGGCGGCCACCCTGAGGAAGAAGCACGCGGACAGCGTGGCCGAGCTCGGGGAGCAGATAGACAACTTGCAGAGGGTCAAGCAGAAGCTGGAGAAGGAGAAGAGCGAGATGAAGATGGAGATCGATGACCTCACCAGCAACATGGAGACGGTCTCCAAAGCCAAGGTACAATCATGGTTTAAGTCTTAAAGAGATTTCTGTGAGACAGGTGTGAGTGAGCCACTCAAGAATCCTTAGTAACTGGCACAAAGAGACTACAGACAGTGCAAGCAGGAGACAGGCACTCAGGTGTGATGGGGGAAGCACTGGCTCTTGGTTGTGAGAACAGCCACACCCAAAGAACATATAGAGTGGAAAGTTAAGCTCTTCCAAATAAGAAATATGATTCAACTATATATTTTGGGATCTTAAAAACACCTCACCTTGATGAGGCTTCTGATTTCTCCCTTAAGCACAAATACATAATTTGCTTCTCAAAAAAATCGCCAAGAATTGAATCAAGTATCATTATTCTCCTATCAAAGAGAAGCCAGCTGAGTAAAGACTTGTATTCACAAAGCAGTTTACTGGTAGCATGTCTGGACTACGTAATTTTTTACTCTTTCCTTCATAATCTTAGGCCTCTGAGTTTTTGTTTGTAAAGATATTATACTCTCAAAATAAGTAAGTGCCCCAGCCCCTATGGAATGCTCGGATTATGGAAAATTCCTGTGGTCCAAATGCTTGCTTGAGATGCCTTCTACTACTTTTTGAATGCAGGGGAACCTTGAAAAGATGTGTCGTACTCTAGAAGATCAGGTGAGCGAACTTAAGACAAAGGAAGAGGAGCAGCAGCGGCTGATCAACGACCTGACGGCTCAGAGAGCGCGTCTGCAGACAGAATCAGGTGGGCCATTTACCAGTGTTGACCTGGAATGACCAATTTCCCTTGGATGCTTAATTTGCTGAAAAACTCTGCACTGACTTATTGAGATCACATATATACCCCCCTGAGAGGCACCCGTCACCACCACTATGAACATATCACTGACCACTGGCATGGATTGCTTTCTTTTTTGTTATAGTTGTGACTTTCATTAAAGAGATCCAGGTTCTTTTGTTTTTACACATTTTAAATAAAGCACATTTGACTTCCATCAAGTTACCAAATTAAAACTGTAGTTTCACAGTATTTGCACTTTTCAAAATGCTTGCACAAGTTATTTATTACTTTATTACTCTCAACAGTCTGTGTAATGTAATCCACATTTTAAAGATGACAGACTATGACAGTGATGAAGTGACCGTCCAGGAATACTTACTCCACTCTTCTTCCTGAAGTCTGGCCAAATGCTGCTAGCTAGCACAGTCATGCAGAGAAATATTCAGTGCTACAACCAGCCCAGGAGCCTTAAGTGATGTTTGCAGAATTTTTTGGAGAGTCTCTGCATTTCCTCTGTCCCCTAGTCAATCCATCCAACTTTTTACCAAAGTTCCACCTCTCAAGTGAGAGGTAACAAGATGGAAATTATTTTATGGGTCATCTGGACCATTAAAGTAATAGGCAGATCAAAGTGTTGGAGAACCACTTTACTCTTTCATATTCATTGATATATTGTTCTTTCTAGGACAAAGTTCAAAGTCAGGCTTTTATTATTGTTGTACAGGTAGTTAGTACACTTCATGAAAAAAAACTGTATTCTCAAAGAATCAAATGCTCCTTGTAGACTCAGGATCTAAGTTCCTTCTATAACTTAGTGGTATGGAAAAAAAAGAAAGTTGTGATTCTTATTAAATACTAACATCTCTTAGACTATGGACTCTGAGAAACAAACTGAGGGTTCTGGGGGAGGGGATGGGTTAGCCTGGTGATGGGTATTAAAGAGGACACATATTGAATGGAGCCCTGGGTGTTATACGCAAACAATGAATCATGTTTCATCAAAACATCAAAAACTAATGATGTACTCTATGGTGATTAACTACATCAAAACTACACCAAAACTACATCAAAAACTAATGATGTAATCTATGGTGATTAACATAACATAATAAAAAAATACTAACATCTCTTGTTACATGCTTCTTGTTACATGCTTCTTGACCAATTTCTACTGTGATAAATAATCTTAAATATCTTCTAAAATATTTTGTGTTGCCCATAAGTATGTAATCAGCCTCCAAGCTTTCCATACTTCTCATTTTTACATAATCAGAACTGGAGTTTGGTGGCTTGCTGTAATCCATACTTACGCCAACATGTTTCAAACTCAGCTCCCTTTCCCTGCTCAGTTTTTAATCCAGAGCTCTGATTTCCAAAGTGAGGTTGAGTTTTCTCCATCTTGGTCTTAACAGGTGAATATTCACGCCAGCTAGATGAAAAGGACTCATTAGTTTCTCAGCTCTCAAGGGGCAAACAAGCATTCACACAACAGATAGAGGAACTGAAAAGGCAGCTTGAGGAGGAAATAAAGGTAAGCCCTACTTGTCACTGTCCTTATTTTTGAGGTTGTGTTCCGCTTACTTCTACAGATTTTCTTCTGATGGCCTATAGGAGCCTAGAGACTAAATGTCACTTTAAAGATATCAAATTAAGTCTCTGATCTCTATGTTCTCAGGCCAAGAGTGCTCTGGCCCATGCCCTGCAATCAGCCCGCCATGACTGTGACCTGCTGCGGGAACAGTATGAGGAGGAGCAGGAGGGCAAGGCTGAGCTGCAGAGGGCAATGTCCAAGGCCAACAGCGAGGTGGCCCAATGGAGGACCAAATACGAGACGGATGCCATCCAGCGCACAGAGGAGCTGGAGGAGGCCAAGTATGTCCTAGACTTAGCTGAAATGGAAATATCTCTTTTAACAAAGCACATCTGCCATAAGCACTGTATGGGAAAATGTCCATTGCTCCCAAAACAAATTTGAAAAACCAAGGAAAAAACATGCATGAACATAAGCCAAAGCAAGACAAACATTCTAGGCAGTGCAGGAAAAGAAATTAAGCTAGAGGGCGGAAAAAGCAACTAAGGCAAGAGGAAGCTGAAGGACTACTTTTAAAAAGGGGGACTTTTGACATCATTCTATCTATAAAGGTGTAGACAGAGTAAGTGTTAACTGTACTTCCTTGTGTCTCTCCTCCCTCTCAGCCACTAATGGGAAAGTCAGTCCAAGGTGTTAGGTGTGTAAGGGAAAAATAACTGGGCTTCAGAACATAGCTCCTCCTTCTGAGAACTAAAACATGGCTATTCGTGGGGAGCAAATACACATATTGTTAAAGACTAAAAAGAAAACATAAATTCTGCAATAAGAAAGGAATCACATCTTTTCACAAAGGACCAAATATTCAATGCAATCAAAGGTTCAAGATGGAACTGTAAAGATGGAGAATCTGGACAGGAAGAAACCTACTCATTCAACAGGAAGTTTCAGGAGAGATCTAGTTGTTTATCTTGTGACTCATGTACAACCATTTGGTTGGAATCATGGTGGGTGGATGCCTTAGAAGAGCCTCTGAGTGGAGGTCACAAAGCAAAACTGATATTGATTTGGAAAAGTTTATTTTTATTAAATGATTACTGAAAAGCCAGGAAAAATAAGGGACATGATTAGCCAAAATCAAGGATATTTGATTTGGGTTGAATTCATTCATTTGAATTCAATTCATCAAACATTCGAGCACTTAATATGTGTGACAGCCTACAAGAAACAAAGAGGAACAAGATATACACTCTACCCTCTGGAGATGAAAATTCAGTAGAGACAAGACATAAACAACAGTAATTCAAGGCAGATATTACTATTCTATAGAGGAGGAGTAAACCAGCCACTTTGATGGGTAAAATGTTGGCTTGGGCTGATCACAGATGACCTTAAAACCTGAGGATGAAGTATGGCGATGTTGAAATTTAGACTGTTTTCAGTATTTAATTCATCGGAGAGTGGGAATGAGCTAGCACAAAACTGGGCCTACAAAACAAGCTGGAAAAGCAAAGTATTAGGGGTCTGGCTGTAGAAATCACTCTTTTGTACCTACTTTGAAGCATCCAGTTCTGCTGATGGCCATTCACTTCTCTTGTTCTTATTTCACTTTTTAGAAAGAAGCTGGCTCAACGTCTACAGGATGCTGAGGAGCACGTAGAAGCTGTGAACGCCAAATGTGCTTCCCTTGAAAAGACAAAGCAGCGGCTCCAGAATGAGGTGGAGGACCTCATGATTGACGTGGAGAGAACCAACGCAGCCTGTGCCGCCCTGGACAAGAAGCAGAGGAACTTCGACAAGGTAACTCGTGTAGTAGCCTCTGCCTCAGTACTCAACACAGGATGAAAGCCAGCCTGCTACCTTCAGTGTGCAGTCTTCAAACTACCCGAGGGCTGTTCTCAGTAGCTCCTGCTCCACGGTAAGCAGTGGAGGGGCATAATGCCTGTGGTTTCTACTCTTCTCATTCATACGATTTGTCAGTCCCTGATCATCTTAACTCCAACACGTTCCGGGATAGATGGTGTCCATCCCATCAACTTTATTTGGACCATTCTTTGCCCCTCAGATCCTGGCAGAATGGAAACAGAAGTATGAAGAAACTCATGCTGAACTTGAAGCTTCCCAAAAGGAGTCCCGCTCCCTTAGCACAGAGCTGTTCAAGATTAAGAATGCTTATGAGGAATCTTTAGACCAACTTGAAACCTTGAAGCGGGAAAATAAGAATTTGCAACGTGAGTACATCTCACCTTTAACAAAAGATCTGAAAAAATGTTTCCCGTCACTGAACAAATTTTTATATTTTTGCTCACCAACAGAGGAGATTTCTGATCTCACTGAGCAGATTGCAGAAGGAGGGAAACGTATCCATGAACTGGAAAAGATAAAGAAACAAGTGGAACAAGAGAAGTCTGAACTTCAGGCTGCTTTAGAGGAGGCAGAGGTAAACATTTTACTGTACATTCTAAAACAATTACAAGAGGAATTAAGAGTCCACTGCATGCAAGAATTGAGGAAATTCTTGAATTAAGAGAAAAGAAAAGTAATTCTGACTCTGTGTACTTAGTATGAGGATGGAGAATTGACCATATGTGCAACTAACACACCTGTACATCAGGAACTGTGCTAGACACTGAAAAAAACAAAGATGAATAAGTTAAGGTCCCTGCCCTCAAGAGCACTATCTAGCTGGGGAGACAGAAATATATAAAATCAACAACACATTGTAGAAATTTCCAGAACAATGGAATAAAAATGTGTTATGGCAGCACAAGAGCAAGAACTGATTCCTATTTCTATAATACTATAAACTTCCATTCCCTGCTAATGTCACCCCTTGTTGTCATTAAAGGCATCTCTTGAACATGAAGAGGGAAAGATCCTGCGCATCCAGCTGGAGTTGAACCAGGTCAAGTCTGAGGTCGACAGGAAAATTGCTGAGAAGGATGAGGAAATTGACCAGCTGAAGAGAAACCACATCAGGGTCGTGGAGTCGATGCAGAGCACCCTGGATGCTGAAATCAGGAGCAGGAATGATGCCATCAGGCTCAAGAAGAAGATGGAAGGAGACCTCAATGAGATGGAAATCCAGCTGAACCATGCCAACCGCATGGCCGCAGAGGCCCTGAGGAACTACAGGAACACCCAAGGCATCCTCAAAGTCAGTGGGTTCAAAAGACGGCCCCAAAGTGGTTGGGGTGATTGCAGCCCTGAGAAGGAGGTGTCTCAATGATTGTTCATTCCACAGGACACCCAGATCCACCTGGATGACGCTCTCCGGGGCCAGGAGGACCTGAAGGAACAGCTGGCCATGGTGGAGCGCAGAGCCAACCTGCTGCAGGCTGAGATCGAGGAGATGAGGGCTACTCTGGAGCAGACGGAGAGAAGCAGGAAAATCGCAGAACAGGAGCTCCTGGACGCCAGTGAGCGCGTCCAGCTCCTGCACACCCAGGTGAGTATAACACAATAGTGAAAAATACAAAGAAATGAAAATGAAATTCCTGCTCATATCTTGGCATTACCTAAAAATGCATTCATAGTGTTTTATGGAGGATAAAATTTAAAACATTTAGTATCTGTGGGTTAACAATATCTATACTGTGACATCCAGTCACATTAAAAACATATTATCATCTCAGATAATTTATGGAACAAGGAGGAATACTAATTACTTAATTAACTAGTTTGTGAGTTCACTAAAAATCTGGCATCTCACATGGAGCACTGGGTGTTATATGCAAATAATGAATCATGGAACACTACATCAAAAACTAATGATGTAATGTATGGTGATTAACATAACATAATAAAAAAAATCTGCCATCTTAATTTTGCTCTCATGTATTAACTATTTCTAAATTTGATATTTCAACCAGAACACCAGCCTGATCAACACCAAGAAGAAACTGGAAACAGACATTTCCCAGATCCAGGGAGAGATGGATGACATTGTCCAGGAAGCCCGCAATGCAGAGGAGAAGGCCAAGAAGGCCATCACTGATGTGAGCAGAGGGCAACATGGTCCTGGTCAAACTTGAATCCTGATGTGCTAGCTCAGCTCTCTCAACTGGTTTTGTTTTACTGCTCATCAGGCAGCCATGATGGCCGAGGAGCTGAAGAAGGAGCAGGACACCAGCGCCCACCTGGAGCGCATGAAGAAGAACCTGGAGCAGACAGTGAAGGACCTGCAACATCGTCTGGACGAGGCTGAGCAGCTGGCCCTGAAGGGCGGGAAGAAGCAGATCCAGAAACTGGAGGCCAGGGTGGGTCTTCTGATCAGCATATTTCCCACCTCATTCCAATCCAGTGCACAAGTTTGAGTACCTCGTACTGCTGGATGACTGGGGGCATACAGAGACGAATGAGAAATGTTCTTTGCTGCCCAAGAGCTTTTAAGGACACAACTAGACTAGGGCATCAAAACTACATATAAAGCAGAGTAAAAGAAGCACTGCAGGTCATTTGAAGAAGGAGAAATCCACTGAGTGAATGGATCACAGTAAATACCTTTTAAAATACCTACCTTCTTGCAGGTCCGTGAACTTGAAGGAGAAGTTGAAAGTGAACAGAAGCACAACGTTGAAACTGTCAAGAGTCTACGCAAACATGAGAGGAGAGTGAAGGAACTCACTTACCAGGTAAGGAAAAGGCCTGTCTAGGTTTTCACCCTACTCTGCAAGGGCTCAAAAAGCTAATGTACAACAAAATGTTGATGGTATTTGTACTTTCAAGAGACTCACTCTTCAAAATATTATTTCAGACTGAGGAAGACCGCAAGAATGTGCTCAGACTCCAAGATCTGGTAGATAAACTGCAAGCGAAGGTGAAAGCTTACAAGAGACAAGCTGAGGAAGCGGTGAGTTCTGAACCCCTTGGAGTGACCACGCAATCCGCACCCCCCACCCAGCCAAGCCAGCTTAGTTACAGGGATGAAAGGAAAGGAAAGGAGGGTACAATGAGGAAGGATCAAAGGAAAAGGGTCAACAACGTTCTGAAGAAGGAGAAGAAACCAACCACTTGATGAGCCAGGGAAAACTGTTCCAGGGAAGGGGAAGAGCAACACAATGCTTTTGAGTGGACAAGAGTCTCATTCAAGGAGCAGAAAGCAACAGAGAGAGAGCAGTGGAGAGGGGGCTGAGGAGCGAGAGAGGAGGCAGATCACATGGTCTTCTAGTCCTTGGTAAGAAGTCTAGATCACATTCTAAGTACAATGGGACACTAGAAAGCCACAGGAGGTTCTAAACTGCTCAGTCATGCCCTGGTTTATACTTTTTAAAAAGAATATTCTGGCTACTTTGTAGAGAACAGATTGTCCAATAACACAGGTAGATTACAGGGCAACATTCTAGGAGGCTTTCTGAATGGGCCCATGGCTTGCCTGAGGGCAACAGTGGAGCAGATAGAGAAGAGTAGAGAGATTGAAGATACATTCTGGAGGGAGAAACTATAGGATGTGCTAATAGGTTGCCCTGGGAAGGTGACAGAAATGAAATCAAGGGTACTTCATCAAGTTCATGGTTTGAGCAACCAGTTGGATGGTGCAACAAGGACTACAATGGGGAACTAAGGGAGGAACAGATTCACAAGGCAATAAAGAAAAAGCATTTCTGTTCTGGAAACACTGTTTGAAATACCATCATATACATAAGTGAAGGTGACAAGTAAACAGTTAAGTCTGGAGCTCAGACAGTCTTGGTCATGTTCAGACCAATAGATTCTTGGTACTCTACCTTATCTCATTTCCCCAGCCTATGATTTATTTGAAATAATAAATACCAATTTTCTAAGTATGTAAGTATGGATATATATACCTACTCATCACAGATTAGTTCCTCTGTTCATTAGTGGTTTTCATTATTCTGCTGACCTCTAAGGTCTGGGGTGGGAAGCAGGGGGTAGGGGGGCCGAATGAGAGAGAGAGAGAGAGACTTACCGTGTCTCTAGCCCCTACTTCCCTCATCTGTAACAGGAAGATCTGAGGTTTTATTCATGCTCTATTATTTAGTAATTCTAAGTTTTATTAATTTCTAAATTTGAATGCCATATTTTGAATAGTTGTCAACGATTAAAAAAGGACAATTACTAAAGACTAAACCCAAACCGCCCTTCCCAAATTCACTGCTTATCTGTTCGAACATCATCAGAGACTACTGAAGACTATTCTTGGAAACAAATTTTGTTTCATTTCTAAATTGTATTAAGTGGCGATAATTTACACTCCAATACTCAAGGGGCAATAATTTATATTCAAGGTTATTAGCTTGATATAATATAGGTTTTCTTAGAAGGTTTTTGTTGTTGTTTTTTTTTTTTTTTTAAGAAGGTTTGGTTCATTCACCAAACTCTGGGAAAAAAAAGAGGTTGGAAAGCTGACATATTTAGTAGTAGCTCTAAGATGTTTATATGTTAAAAAGAAGAACTTTTAGGAATTTGGTAGCAAATGTCACCTGTCCCTCCTTGTTATCCATGAGTTCAAGAAGCATGAGAGGAATTAATACAAAAAAAGAAAAAATTCAAGAGTGTTTCTCTAGTTTTTTTTTTTTAAGGTTTACTAGAGTGAAGCATTTTTAAGTAAAAAGAAATTTGAGACCAACTGACCTAAGAAACTAGAAATTCTGAACTCTTTTCCCTCCTAAATGCATCTCCATTCTCAGGAGGAACAATCCAACATCAACCTCTCCAAATTCCGTAAGCTCCAGCACGAGCTAGAGGAGGCTGAGGAACGGGCTGACATTGCTGAGTCCCAGGTCAACAAGCTGCGGGTGAAGAGCCGGGAGGTCCACACAAAAATCATAAGTGAAGAGTAATTCAACCGAATGCTAAAAAGTGACCAAAGAAATGCACAAAATGTGAACATCTTTGTCACTCTGTTTTCTTACTTTGTTTTTCTGCAGATAAAAAATTTATCTGCAAATAACCTGAGTCTCTTTCCCACCCCCCACCCCCCAACTGTGTCAATTAACCTTTCTCTGCATCAAGAAAAGAAAGAAAGAAAGAGAGGGAGGGAGGGAGAAAAAGAGGGAAAGAGAAAGATTTTGGCTTATATCTTACAGAGCAGGATTTAGTCACCAAGAATAAAACATGATAGGAACAGCCAGGCCAATCCCCGATAGTAAATGCCCTCAGCCACACTTGTCCCTGTGGGGAGCAGGTGAAGCCTTGAGGTGGGCATTATTAGGCTTACAGAACATAGAATATGATAAATCTCACTGGGCAAAACACCAGCTAGTTATCAGAAAAAGTTGATTTCTGTTAATGAAGTAATTTATTTTCTTCATAAGATGGTAGGAAATTCTTGATCTCAAGATTGCATAAAAATAAATCAAAATAGTAATTACCTACATAAGATAAATGAAACTGTAAATTTTGATTGGACACTCAAAAATACTCTAAATGCAAACTCTCTGCTATAAATACATGAACTATTAAGTCGGGATTAGGATCCCTTGAGAGGGAAATACATTCTGTGGATTTTCTAGTCCTTTTTAAATACGAGATTTTTAGTGTTTTGCTCCCTGCAATAGGTTTAAGTGGTTTTCTTGGGCATCCTCCCTTGCTGTGTCACATTACAATAGGAAACAGGAGGGAGTTAAGAATGAATATATTTGCAGTACCTGTGCTCTCTCTGGAAAGTCCTGTGTCTCTTACAAGGCTTTCTCCCAGTGCTTCTGACAGCAGTGGGAGGCCAATTAATGATTTCCCGTCAGTTCCCTGCTCTCATTATTTGGTCTCTGGATTGCGATGCTGTGCCTTTCTACAGAACTACAGCAAACCACCGTCATGATTATAACTGGTATCACTACCACAGAGCAACATGGCTGAGGGTAGCCCGGGCCTTCCACTTACCTCATTTTTAATAGACAGGGAACAGGTAAAATAGCAAGTTTCTTTTCAGCTAGCAAGGTAACAAAGATCTTACAGGAACCATACACCTACTTCAAAAGAACAATATAAGACTACATGTTTTAAATTGTACTATCTGGTGGGTTAAATTATCCAGCCGCACTCGTCCAAGACCTTGGCTCCTGGGGAAGATCCCTGCGGGTTGTTAGGCGCCTCCACTTATTTTTGTGGATCCTTGGAGACAACAGTTTATTCTAATGCGACATCTTGACCTGCGCTTTAAATTGACATCTACCCCTCCCTGATCACAGCGCTTGCTGGGAAGCTCTCGAGAGGTGACCTTTACTCTCGCAGGCTTTCAGAACTCAAGTTCTGCTGCTTATCCTCTTGTAGAAAGCTCCTCTTCTTTGAGATTCGTGCTCTTCTGCTATTCCCCATGCCCCCTGCTGTCCTTGACTGACTTCCTTCATTATAATTCTGGCACCTCTTCCCTGTCCACCCAATTCGTACCACATATGTGGGAGATGTCAACGTCCACATGGATGATGCCTCCAATACAGACTCCCATCCTCCGGTGCCTTCTCCTCCCCTCCACCTCGTCCACGGCCTCACTCTGGAAAATGCCCAAACCTCACACTCACTCACCAAGTCAAGCAACTCCTTTCTGATCTAGCTCACATGTTGCACTATCCCAAATCTAACAGTTCTTATTCAACCATATGGGACCTCCAGTACTCTGACCTTTTATTTCTTCCATATTCATCAGCCTCTATTTCTCTCCCAAGGAAGCAAAAATGTATAATATTTTTGTCCACTCTCTTAACAACGCCCTAAATTCCTTTGCCATCTCCTATCCTTTGTCACACTTGAATGGAAAGAAACTAAACCTGAATGAATCCAACAGTTCACTACTCCACACTTGCATAGAGATGGTACCACTATTAATTTCCAACCACGAACCCCACTGGGCCTTCGGTGTTGGAGTTACACAGTCAACTTGGCTCACTCCCTCTATTTCTCTCTATTTAAAATCTCTGCTCTCCTCAAATCTCCATTCCCTGCCTTTGGTCCCAGAAGATGATTTCACATCCTGCTTAAAAGAAAAACTAGATGCCATCAGATGGAAATGGCCTCCCATTCCTGCTGCCATGCCATATTCATCCTTCCAATGTGGAGGTGCTCCTCCAATTTAATTTCAGGGCCACCTCCTCAGCCTGGCTCTAAATCTCACCCCCTCCCTTCTTCTTAGAATGGTTTTACAGTGGATTTTCCATTTCTCCCACTTTATTCCCAGCATCTCCCATTCTTTCTTAAAACTTCCTTTCTTAAAACTCTCTCTTGACCCTATTTCTTTCCTCTAGTTCCTTTCTCACTTCTCCACTTTCCTCTCCAACAAAATTTCTCGGGTGTTGCATATACACACTGTCTCCATCTCCTCACTTCCCACCTACTCCTTAGCTCACTCCAGGCTGGCTTTTGCTCACTCTACTTTGCCAAAATGGGTCTCACTGTGATCCTCAGTCACTTCTTCATTGCTAAATCAAAAGGACACTTCCCAATCTTTAATCAACTCGACCTTCCAACTGCATGTTATTCATCTGACCATTCTCTCTAAGTGGAAATGTTCTCTTCCCTTGATTTCCAAAACTCTGACCTGCTTTGGTGTTCATCATAGCTGCAGCTCCCCAGCCTCTTTCTCCTCTGTCAGCTCATCTGCCTCTGCCAAACCATCAGATGTTTCTGTGAGTTCAGTGCAATGGGGCCCACGTAATAATTGAGCATACATTCTGTTCAAGGCACAATGCCAAGTGGAGGGATATAGGGATGAACAAGTAAGACCCTAAACCTATATATATTCATGTAGCTTACATTTTAATGAGGGAGAAAGACTATTTGCAATTTTGTACACTTACAAAAGTAAAGAGAACATATAAACAGGGAAATCAGACTTATTCTGGAGGGCCCAGGTCTTTTTCTTAAAGTTAGTGAAATTGAAGCTGAGATTTAGAGGAAGAATAGGCCTTAGCTAGTCTTAAGTATAGAGATGAGAAATAAGAGTCCTTGAAGCCGAGGCAGCAACAGTGCTAAGTCCCTGACATGAGAAGGCTCACGGTATGTTCCTGGAACTGAAAGGAGGTCAGTGAGGCTGAGACACACAGAGGGAGGAAGAGAGTATCACAAGGTGAGAGCTTGCAAGGTAGGCAAGGGCCATCTTCAGGATTTTAGTTTTTATGCTAAGAGCAGAGGGGGTAATGTTAAGCTGGACAGTGATGTGTTTATTTTTTAGAAAGATTTCTCTGGCTGGAGAGCTGCAGCTATGATGAACACCAAAAGTATAAATAAATGAATGTTTCTATACCTTTGAATTTGCTGCCTGTGTGCCCTCCAACCCTTCCCCATCTGGCAAATGTTTACCCATTCCTCACGTCTCCACTTACACATGGCTCGCTTTAACGCCTTCTTTAGGGGTCAAAGCGTCTACTCTTACATGTTCTAAGACACCTAGGTGGACTTACATGTTCCTTTCCTGTATTTTCATATCACTGTCATATTCTCCTTGCTCCTGCTGCCTCTGACCATAATACTCTTTCCTCCTCTTTGTGAGTCCACCCTCCTTATCCTTCAAGGGCACTGGCTCCAAGCAACCTTCCCTCATAGGAGGGAGAACCTCTCTAGAGCAATCAGCTCTATCTTCTCCTGTTCCATGGTTCCTTCCTGTCTTATCTTTCCCACTCAGGTCTTGCATCCCGTCTTCTCTCCCCCTCTCAGTAACTGCATGCTTCCCGGTCTCTCCCCTTCAATTCCGGCACTTTGTCTTAGCTCTTCTGTTCAGCTATTCTATCCTGCCTTATGCCTCCTGCTTGGTTAATGCGTCCTGTCTGACCTCTCCTGGTACTCAAGGAAAGCCCAGATTTTAGATTGCTTAGTCCATTTTACTTGTTTAAAGAAATAGTTACACTTATTCACACTTTGCTTCCGAACTGTCCCCAACTACAACATGTATTTAAGAAAAAAATATCATTTTGTAAATCTTTTCTCTTACTTTCAAAACCTTCAAAACACACAGTGACTTTTACAGAAATGCAAAATATCCACCAACAACCAGCATAGGAATACTAGAACATTTACTCCTATTTCCCCTACACAAGTGCCTCTTACTTCTTAATAATTACCTCTCGTTGATATCCTGCCACTCGGGAATGTAATATATTCTCTTCCTACCTCTACTTCCAATCCTGTAGAAGATACCAACGGTCAACACTGATGGCAGCAATTTATTGCGACTTCTTTTCTGAAATAAAGGGAATTTAGCACCATACCTAAGACTTGACCAGAAAAAAGATCCTAAAAGCATGTCTTGTTGTCTAACTGGAACTAAGAAGGGAAAAGAATTTCCAAAGATTTAAGTTAAAATTAAATTTGTCCACTGATTTATTTTTAATATAGTTCATCAATACACAGGACATTAGATTCTCAAATATTAATTATTAATGTTGCCTGAGTAGTGGGGACAGCACATGACTTCTCACACCTAAGAGGTGAAATGTCAGATAACAACACAAAGGGAAAATAAGAGTGAGCCAAACAACCACATACCAACCCCTAGGAATCAGGAAGGCCCTAAAGAATGAAATAGAATAACCAGAAAGAGCTGAATGATTCTGTCTCCTTATTCTTTTCCCATGTAGACCTGCTTCCCCGGGAATCTACGTGCCTCTGAGTTAATTATAACACCTAGCAGATGCTTCTCTATTCACTCTATTCAAGTGGAAAGGTGTAGACAGCTAGAAGGGGCAGGGGATGAGAGAGCAAAACTGCTACGTGTGAGTAAGGAAAGATTACTGATATGCTACCAAAACAGAATTTCTGAAAAACATTTTCAAGGTTCCACCTATATCCTGTAGCACAGAAAACGTAAGTCTCTACGTATCTCTGTCTTTTTAGCAGCATGTACTTTACACACAGTTCTATGTGTCATGGGGGTAGTTTGTGGCTTTCCAGTTCTCAATATGCCGGCTTCTGGTGGGCAAGCATTATGGCGTGTCCAACAACAGGACACTGTCA